ATAAAACTAGGTAATAACATTGATAGGTAAGTGAGAATGTGTTAGACAGTTACGTCGCCGAGTGATTAAGTTGGTCTCACCTACTTGAAAAGTTAGTCAGTTTAACCTAGACAGTGCCGCAGATGGCAGGATATCTTACGTAATAAGGCTAAATGTGTGACTTTATCCACCCACTTTAGTATAGAGGTAGGTTGCTTCCTGGGGAAGGATATAAGCTAGTTTTTGAGAGTCGCGACCCCAGGGGTAAATACCACTTCATTATGGTTGGAATATAATCGCCAGACATTGTTGGGGGTGGTGGGATTGATGTTGGTGGAAGTGGTGCTGGTGTTGGTGGATAGTGTAGCTGATGGTGTCAGTAGTGGTGGAGGTGGTAGTAGGCAGTGAACCAACAGTGGCTCCATCACCACCACCATTTTTTCCTTAAATTTTTCACATGCATTATGTGACAACCCTATCAGAATAGGTATACATTTTCGACGTTGTTAAGAAGCTTCCCCTCTGGTCCTTACTCTTTACTCTGTGGCCTCGTGTTCGGATACGCACGGCACAAATATTTGCTTCAGGTCTGGAAGTTTATCCTTGTGAAAATTATGTACGTAAATTGCCTCCACGATACAGGAGAAACTCGTATGTAGTAAGGTAATTTTCATAAAAGATTTAAAAGAAATAGAAATGTGGCGTTATTTATATTAAAACTTCTTTTGAAAACTTCAAGTTTTTCAGATATATCATAGTCTAAATTACTCCTAGTCTTGTTCTTTATCTGTTCGTGAATTTTAATTACAATTCGTTCAGCCATTCGGAATGTATAGATAAAAGCCAATAACTTTTGTAGTAATATAACTTTAGTTTTCAATCCAAGCAGTGCTTGGATTGAAAACTAAAGTTATATTACTACAAAAGTTTACAAATTACTCCAATTTACAAATTAGAAATAAAGAAATTAAAGTAGTAGAAATAGTATCAATAAAATGTTATAATAAAACTTTTAGGATACGATACATATTTAGTAGAATTTTATTTAAATTATGTTTTAAACTAATTCGGATTATTGATTAAAAACTGTCTCTTTAATGTTGTGGTAATATTTTAAAACAATATTAAAATGTACTTAATTTATATCTAATTATCGTTAATTACTCCATAAAAGGCCCACAAAACATATTTGCGGCTTTGAGTTCTCTCAAATTGATAACTTTTTTGTTGCCAAATTTTATGATATTCTATTTTATTTATTTAACATATTAATTAATTAAAACTCACTGTTACAAGGATTTCTAAAACAGAACAATAATCAAAGAATTTTTGAACTTCCTCACGAACGAAAAAATATATACTTACGATGATAATAGTCGATATCCAGCCGATAAAATAAAAATGGACTTACATAGGTATATCAGCAGCAGTCGCTTCTGAGTGAGACGGATATTGTGTATGTTTCGAAATTGAGTATCCTTCACTAAGCGTGACTTCGGATATCATGGTTTACTGATTTACAGTAACGATTCTAAGAATTTATTGGGCTCAGAATTATTACATATTTATGCCATATCCCGCTTTAACAAATAAGTAATAAAAATAACAAAAACATTGCTAATATTTGATTTTCAAACGCTTTTTAATTAAATAAATTAAATCACTATTTAATTGTCTTTTTTTTTGTATGACTATGTAGTGGCGGTGTAAGAATAGCCACTACCCATATCGTCCTCAGGATGTCGTAACAGGCGATAGAGGAAAACAAACCAGGACGTAGGCCTGGTTTGTTTTCCTCTATCGCCTACCATTGCCTCCCGCTTGTCATTCATGGCAACTATGGCAAATATCCTCCATATGAAGCATTCTGTGGGGGAGACCTATATTCAGCAATAGAAATTTAGTAGGCTGTAACGGTAACCATCAATAAATGGGTTACAAAATGCGGACTAAATGTTATGTGATATTTTCCGACAGTGGACCACAAACGTGGAGGAAAATTCTTTTTAGGTGAATAAAACTAAAAAAAAAAAAATTAAAAAGCACGACAGTTTTTTTTTTAATTAATTATTTGCCAAGCGTAGCAACTACGGTTCCCCTTTGAGGCAGTGGAGGGGGGAAGCCTTTTATCTGTAGTGACCTTTTGATAGGCTGTAATAAGTGAATGAAAGATTTTTTTTCAGCTGCTTAGCCTGCAAAATGTAGGAGTAATATTACACTTTTGACAATACCTGGTTTTGAAAATTAAGTTTTTTCATCATGGAGTAATGTATATAAGCTTTTGCAACAGTTCCAGAAAATATGCAGGCCCCACGTATATCAAACTTCAAATGTTTTATTAAACAAAACCTGCGAAAAAGTTGTTATTATTTCTGCGAATGAGGTTATCGCTACAATATTGTTGGTAATGTTTAAATTTTATATTTATATTATTAAATTACGTTGTTATTTCTTAAAAATTATTATTTCAAAAAGAGTCCCACTGGAATTTTTGCGTGCTTCTTCCCATGGCTGAGGTTTTTTTCCAAACCAGTTATAAAAACATAATTAAATATCAATTAGTTATAATTATTTTCATTTAATTGAAATATATTCTATTCTAAGGTAGATATATAGAAGATAGAATAGAATAATTTATCCTTTTATATGTAATGAATTATTTACCTCAGAATAGAATAGTATACAGTAATTGAATCTTGTATTAGTAAATTTAATCTCTTATACTGAAATAAGTTGAATAACTTGCTGAACCTTACTCGTTATTTAAACTGAAATAAAGATGAATGGAAAGAGCCTCTTTGCAAGATATACTAAATTTACGTTCGGCATTTTGCATTAATTTTTTTATTCCTTGATTAGTGAAACATCCACCATGATTCACAAATCATCAAATTAATTCACAATCGATCACACAAATCAAGCACAAAATAAATTATGTCGATTGTTTCAATATCAAAACCAACTAACATCAAACATACAATTTTTTTTCTTTTATTATATCGTCCACACTAAGATTTTCTCCTATATCATTGGGGCAGCTTACATACATAAATTGTACAAGGACAAACATCAAGTCCTGGACCAACTAATTATTTATAAGACACAAAGAATTGTTTCTTGCGGGAAAATGTTTGAAAACTTTTAACATAACGCTTTAGTCGTCTTAATTTTCTGTCTTCTTTCATGATTAAGTAAAGAAGACAGAAGACTGAAGAGTGATGAACATGGTTTTAGGTGCATACGTGCGTGAGTTGCGTGTTCTTACGATAAGTTGAGCATGGTTTCTGTATCACTTGAATTATAAGTAATATCATTATATACTCTGCCTGTCGTGATAGCGTGTACACTTATGGTAAAAAACATAAACAGAAAACCCCTGGTGGACAGAGGAGCTGGAGCCCATGAAGCGGGAAGTGATTGACATCCATCACCAACTTCATGTCGCCAAACATCATAACTTACCCCTTGACGATTTAATTCAGGCACAAGCTGCTAAGAAAGCGGCCTACGCTCAGGGTTTGCGGAATGAGTCGACGAAACATTTTCGTCAATTTTGTGACTCACAGAATAAGGAAAATGTTTGGTCTTTAACCAACAGACTATTACGCACCACTGCACCCCGACGGCCACCAGTTACTCTTAACATGGACAGCAGATATACCACAAGTAGTAAAGATACCGCTAGAGCCCTCCTCAATCATTTTTACCCCGACTACCAACCTGACACTGAATCTCGACATCACCTACTTCGATACCAACTGAATGACTCTCCACATTCTAACGACGACCCTCCCTTCATTGAAAAGGAAGTGCTGGAGTGTTTTAAACACATGTATCCCAACAAAGCACCGGCACTGGACAATCTGACTTCTGACATCTGCTTTCAATTCGCTAAAGACTACCCGAAACTACTTATAGACCCACTCAACAGATCACACTTCAGCACTTCCCCAAACAGTGGATGATTGCTTACGTTAAGATCATCCCCAAGCCTGGAAAATCTGATTACACAACCCTGGAATCGTTCCGACCTATAGGACTTCTGCCTGTATATGGCATGCTGCTGGAGAGCTGTTCATTAGGAGAGTGACATACTAGGCCCAAAAGCAAAACAGAATGAACAAACACCAGTTTGGCTTCAGAGAGCAAACTAATACATGTGAAGCCATCAATACTGCCTTAAATATTATTAAGCAAGGGAAATACAACAAACACCTCAGTATTGCAATTTCACTAAGAGCTATTACGCACTGTGGACTAGTCGCCGGCGACTCAGTTGTCGACGACTGTAATATTGTATAGTTTAAATAGGTGTTTACGCACTAGTCACCGGTTGCCCGGGCGACTCGGCGACTCGCCGCGCAGTGGCGACGCACAGGCAACTGCCGGTCGCCGGCGACCAATAGGAGCACGGTTTCAAATTGCTTTCATTGAAAGCATTCACACTGCGAGCAACTGTCGTAACGACCGGACGGCCGCGCACAATGAGTTTTGACACGGATAAATTTATATCGGAAATACAATCCCGAAAAGCTATTTGGGATTTACAAAGTGAGGAATATGCTAATCGGGATTTGAAGAAAAAACAGTGGGAAGAAATAGTGGAGTTATTTGGAGGTGAAGAATTATCAGACGAAGAAAAAAAAACTCAGGTAAGTAAGAAATGCCATTTATTTTTTATTAATTAATACTGCTCATCTGCCAAGATAATTGACCCTCAGTTGTAAAGTAATCAGCAAATACATCTCTGTATGATGCACCACGTCGCGTAGCTCTTTGGAAACCGTTTGGGACTTCTTCAAAGCCAGGAATGCTCAGGGTATCTTCAAATTTATATCCGTCTCTTTCTCGGACATAGTTGTGAAGAGCGCAACATGTTTTGATGATGCATGATACTAGATCTAAATTCACGTTGATAGGTCTGTGAAAAATCTGCCACTTGTTTGCTAATATGCCGAATGAACATTCAATATGGCGTCGTGCACGAGAAAGCCTATAATTAAATATTTTTTTCTTTGTTGTTAAATTTGATCCACCGTTTGTCCAAATGCTTCGTCACCCACAATAACAAACGGTACTGGTATAGGGTTTGTCGATGAAATGGGCTTAGGTTCGGGTATTTGCAAATCATTGTTCATTAGCTTTTGATAAAACGTTGAATTTGTAAATATAGTTGAATCGCAATCCTTTCCATAGGAACCAACGTCTATGTATATGAACTTATAGTCAGAGTCACAAATGGCAAGCAAAATTACAGAAAAGAAGTGTTTGTAATTATAACACAATGATCCACTGTTGTATGGTTTTATAATTCTTACATGCTTACCATCTACGGCACCTATGCAATTTGGAAAATTGGCCCGTAAATGAAAATCTTTTGCGATTTTTAACCAATTTTCTTTTGTCGGTTGCGGTAAACACATGTCTTTTAGTACAACCCATATAAAATGACAAACTTCTCTTATTATTTCAGCTATAGTTGAAATCCCAAGTCTGTATGAGTAATGTAAATCTACAAATTTACAACCGCTTCCAAGATATCTGGAATTAAAAAATAATTTAAATATATACATTATTTACAGGTCATTCACTTCAAAAGAAATGGAAAAATATAAGAAGCTGCTTTTCGCGAGAAGTACGAAGATTAAAAAATACTAAAAGCGGATCTGCTGCTTCCCATAAAACTCCCTATATTTATTATAATCAGCTGTTATTTTTGAAGAATACCGTTGGTAATTTGAACACAGAGAGTAACATTGCTGAACAAGAACATTTGACAAATGATCAAGAACCTTTAGGACCTTACTCGAGAGAAAATATAGTCGGAAGAAAAAAGAAAAAAACGTCAGATGATGGCACAAGCGAACTGTTAACCACATTAAATAAGTGTATTGAAACTCGCAAAAATAAGGAGGATATTTTGGAACAAGATGAGGACAGAATGTTCCTGATGTCCCTATTATCATCATTTAGGGCAATTCCGGAGCACAAAAAGTCAGCTGCGAAAATTCAATTAATCAGTGTAATCGAATCATTCCGATCCTCTACTCAAAATAATATATATCCAAACACAATGTGGCGAAATTTTAATGAGTACGAGTATGAGCGTGGTTACTTCACACCGGAGGCCGGGCGTTCAACAGCACCAAGTCAACAATCACGCCCTGAAGCACAACATTATTATACGCTACCAACTTCAACTCCTTCAGAACGTGAACGCCCAGAGTCGCGATTTTCTACTGTCACTTCAAATACCTCGCAAGATTCTGACATTTTGGATCTATTTTGAATATTTCCTTTTGTTGTGCGTTCGTTTATAATATTGATTTCATTAAGTACTTTAAAAAATACATGTTTTATAATTATTTACCGTATATTTTTAAATTATGTCATCGAAGAGTAGACTTACAGATAGTGCCATCCACGAAGACGCGCCCCACTCTTTGTTCAAATGCATGTGTACTATCTTCCGCATGTGTTAAACATCTGTCGATACACGCTAATTATCGATGAATGCAAACGCACACTAATAGAAATTGACTAATCAGGAAAGAGTATTATGAACAGCACGAAAGATGCTCTATTTAAATTTAATCGCGCATCTTCGTGGATGGCATTATCTGTAACTCTAAACACACTCCCGGACACATCTATCGGCCCACCTTGAGTTTTAAGTTTTGACTGGAGACCAGCTAAAAATAAATGTTAGGAAGAGCAATAAGTTTTTGCAGGTGTGAAGCTGATGTACTGGCCATCGTTTTCGTAAAAAACTGCATAAAATCTTATTGCACCACTTAACATTTATTTTTAGCTAGGGATTGTCAACACTTTAAACACTAGGTTTGGCCGATAGATGTGTCCGGGAATGTAATGTAAATTGTGTTAAAATCCCGTAAAAAATAAATGTTAGGAATGAATTTTATTTGAATTGTCACTTACCTTAGTGTTATAAAAAGTTTTTCTTCCGGAGAAATACATGGTCGCATATTTGTATCTATGCCAGTTATATGTGGTTTTAGAAGACACAATAAGACATCAAACGAACTCACAGACATTCTTGCATAATTAAAAAATTTACGAGGATATTTTCTAACGTCTTCATAAAATATTTTAAACATTCCCTTTGACCTCCGTTCTTCTAACAAAGGATGCACCCAATACTCTTTTGATTTTTTTTTATTTGTCTTTCTTTTTATAATTAGTAGCGCCGCTACTATTGCAAGTTCTTCAACGTCCATTCTGCACGAATGTACTTGGAATACTGTCGCTCGGCTCGGTCTCCGGGCCCTGTTTCCCATATTTCGGTCGCCGAGGGACTGAGTCGCCGGCGACTAGTCGACAGTGCGTAATAGCCCTAAATATCAAAGCCGTCTTTGACAACGCTAGATGGCTGGCGCTTTTTCAACGGTTGAGACACATTGGCTGGTCAACCGACATCTTTGGACTAATCCAAGACTATTTCCGCAATCGTGAAATTATTTAAGACCATGCCGGGAGGCGGGCCACGAAGACGATGTCAAAGGGCTGTATTCAGGGCTTCGCGTGTAGTGCCCTCATGAATGAATTACTGACTCTGTGGAGTCGAGTGACAAGTATCAATAGCTTGTGTTTGTTCCTAAAGTTTACAGTATATACCTATCACTTTTTTATTAAAACTACTTTTATGTAAGTGAACAGAAGTTTTCGTAAGGACTCTGATATGCCAAGGTATATATTTCGTAAGTATTTTTTTAAAGACTTTTTCGGTTTTAGGTTGTAAACAGCTCTTATGATTCTCCTCTGCAGAACATAACATAGGCATATAAATCGTTTTAAATCAGCCGCATTTCCCAAAATCCCATAAGACGTAAAGTTTATGGAAATAACTGAAATAAAACAATGTAGCTGTCCCGACACTGGTGATACTTCTGATCTTTTTAGAGTATAAGCTGTTGATCTTTGATTGCTTCCTAGTTTAGATAAGTGGGGCCCCAAAGAAGGTTTCGTGGATCGAGTCTAATGCCAACAACAATGGAATAGTCAAAGCTTAGTTGTTTCCCATTTGAAAACATATTGATATTCAGCTTTTTACAATTTAGTATTGTAAATTTTATATACTTACTTTCATTGCTAGTGGATTAGTAGCGTTGAACCAATATACTCATTTTGATATAGCATTATTCACTACAATTAAATGATTTTTGTTAAAGTTTAAAAATCACAGATATATCATCAGCAAATAATTCTATATCATTATTATCCCCTATAAAGGAAGGTAAGTCATTAATATAGACTAGAAATATTAATAGACCGAGAACTGAGCCCTGATGAACACCCATTAGTACAGGTGACTCAGAAGAACATTTTGCGATTGATAATTGCTTTCTGCGTTCTATTACTTAAATATGAAATAATAAGTTTAAGCGGTATGTTATCTATACAAAATAAATATTAAAATAAAATTGAAGTGTCTGTTTGTAATGTCAAAATTACAGCTTTTTACTAATTGCATATGAAAGTATATACGGTCCTTATAACAAAAACACAATTTAAAACAAAAATTCTGTCTGTCTGTCTGTCTGTTTGTTCCGGCTAATCACCAAAAAAGCTGGACCGATATTGAAGGGACTTTCACTGGCAGGTAGCTGATTTCATAAGGAGTAACTTGGGCTACTTTTATTTTAGAATAATATTAGGGTTCCGCGCAAAAACATAAAAATCATAACACGCGAGCGAAGTCGCGGGGAACAGATAGTTATTTTATAAAAAATGTTAAAAAAACAACAATAATTCGCTATAATTTATATTGAAACTAAAATACTTTTCACAATGATTACTAGATATTCAGCTGCGTTTATATAAAAAGTTACTTACTTTGGCTTATTTAAAGTTTGATATTTTGCAAAATTATGTAATTTGCTAAATTTGATTTGTGAAAGCTATAATTTTACTTTAGATTATCCGTACAAGTAGTATCTTAAGTAAAATTAGATTTTTATAAAGTGATAACTTAAGAACTAACTCACAAATATTGGTGAGTCAAAATATCGCAATTTTGTAAAATGGTTCTCATAGTTTCATGCTTACATGTATTATCGCGCTTCAGGTGAAACCAATTCGAATATCGCAGGCTTGGCAGCATAACGTCCGTTATGCGATGCATGATGCGAATTCCAAATATCAGACTGCTATTTTGCAGACGTACGCTTTTGTAACATTTTATTGATTGTTCGGTTTGCAATCTACTGTAACTTTTACAATACGTTAAGAACTTCTGAATAAAAACAATAACAATAATCTTATACACGTATATGTATAAAAATTCAAAAGTTATGTGAAAAATGTATCAATTTTTTCCGTTATTAATCAAAATTCGTCCTTATATTAATCAAAATTGAGTTTTAAACAGTTTGTTTACTTAAGTTTTAATTCGCCTGAGCTTTAACTTAATAAAACTTTCCTGAAATTATTTACTTTTATTAATCGCTAAGAAAAAACTGATTATATAAACAAAAAACAATTAAATAACATCCCCATAATAGCTTCAAAGCGGAAGCAAAGTTATACAATACTGTACAGAAGATTTAAAGCCCGACTTCAGCAAACATTATGTCAATATTATATTATATTTTTTAGTTTTTGAAGCTGGTTTACTTTTTACTTTTTATTAAAAGGTTAATTTTTTTGAGTAGACGAAGCAATGTGACCACATTTGAAGTATAGCCTGTTCAATGAACAGCTCCATACAGTCCCTGGTAAGCGTATTTCTACGGGTCTTGGACTAAAAGTTATGTTTGACCAAAAAAATGACAAGTTATACAAGCAACAAACGAAATGCATAATATTATGTCTCACCATGGAGAGCTAGGAGAAACAATCGTGTACTGTTTTCTAATTAAAAATAACTATTATTTATCTAAGTATAACCGTGGAATATTATAAACATTTTTATTCTTCTTCTGTCGTGTGTAGTTAAGTGCTAAACAAAGGCCTTTTTAAGAATGGGCCAGCAATTATGCAGTTCTTGAAAGACTTGTCAATACTCACCTCGCTGAACCGGTAAACCTAACACTGATATTCTCCCATTGGTAATGCTGCTTCATCACTCCGTGAAATTTGGTTTCAGCGTTTTCTGATGAATTTTCCGCCAGAGCATCGTCAGTCACGGACCAGCAGATTAGATCGCATTCAGTTGAGGTTGATATTTATAAAAAAGTCGAATTGTTTAATAAATTATAAATTTAAGACCACTAACAATAACTTGATGACAAGAAGTATAGTTTAATTTTAAAAATACTGGCCATATAAAAAGATTTACATGTGTATTTGATCCTGGCATATTTATATATCTCACATTCTCATACGGACAGCAATTAAAAACTAATTTTTGTTCTATAATCATCACTGGCACCGGCTTTAGTTATATGATGATAATAATCTCCAATTATACTTATTATATTATACTCAATAGATACATTTGTTGCGGAAAATTCAGACGCATTCTTTTATTCCATCGTTCCATCAGAAATGTACTTTTTTTATAGGATAAGGGTGACAAACGAGCACACAGTCCACCTGATGGTAATTGGTTGCTGCGGCTCATAGACATCTACATCTATCCTCTATTACATATCAAAATGTAGATGCGTTGTCACCCGTGAGGACTAAGATAGAATGCCTCATTTCCAGTAAAAAGGGCCTCCGGCCACCTGCACTCACCAAGCGAAACCCAGAGGTAAACCTCTACTTCACGCTGGTTTTCTGTGAGGTCGTGGTACCACCCCGGTTCGAGCCGGCCCATCCGTGCGACAGCAAAAGCTGTCGCGTGGCTCTACCACTGTTACTGTTATTAGAATTTAGGGTTCAAATATAACTCACTATTTTACCATCATCATCATCATCATCATCATCATCATTCTTCCTACACTTCGCCTGCCGGTACGAGGCTGCCACTCGAGAACCATTCTTCCCCATCTATTGTCGGTTCTTCGAGCTTTAACACATAAAACAATTTAAGTGGCAGTTCAAACGCAGTTTGTTCTTTTATAATAAATCGACTTGGTAATGTAATATTGTATTTAAACTATTATATTTATTGAATTATGTGTAAGTTATTATACTAATACGTAAAAATCGAAATTTTCGGACGTTTATATTAGTTTTATTACTATAGCAGAGGAACATTGTCAAATTTACATCATTCGAAATATGTATCGTGCACTGTGCTATAATGATCACAAAATATTTTGTGAATGTTAAAATTAATGCTGAAGCGGGTAAAAAGTAATATTCGAATATGAAATGCCTTAACCAATTAAATGAAAGCACTTTGATCACGTTGATGATTGTATGCTCATGTGTAATTGGTCGAATTTCGACCACAAAGGATACTCGTTTTGAATAATGCTCGCACAATGGAAGTTCTAGGCTTACTACCGTGCAAAGCCCTGATGGACTAAGTCTTGAAAAAACTGTCTGTCTAAGTAATAAAATTTGCGCTCTTTTGCATAAGTGAAGTTTAAAGGCTTTACCTTTCCTTACCCAACATTTATCACTCCATGACCCCTTCAATAATAAGACGAGGCTTGTATTCTTCCTACTGGGGTACATCTTTAACTAATTTTTTTATAAATAAATAAAACGGTCTTTTGTGTATAACTGTGCATATAACATATATTTTTTTAATTTATTTTATGATATGAAATAGAGTTTCAAAGTATAAGCCGTATCGCAAAACAAGAAGGTTATTTGCCTAATCATTAAAATACGGTTAAAACAAAAGTTTTAAACTAATAAATAATAAAATTAGAGCTCAATTTTAATGTTATATAATGAATTCACAAACGCTTTTACATTACTATGAGATACTTAAAGCAAACTTTCGTTTTATTATCTTTCACTCAGATCACATACATGTTGCTCTTTATCTTATTAGCTTGATTTAATTTCAATAGAAACTTTAGTTCTTTTATTACTTACACTATATTAAATTTGAGCAAGTTTTTATTTTAAATTAATACTGATTTAATATTTCCTTTGAGCTGATTTGAGCAGTAGTAGCTCAGAGGCTAAGAGCGCGATGTAAATTACACAGTACGCGAGCAACCCGGGTTTGATCCATGCCGACACCAAAAAAATTGTTAATTACAATTTTGAGTACTGATTTACCACGTGCTCTGAATTGTAGGAAAACTTCGAGAGGAAACTTGTATGTCAAAGAAAATATTTCGAAGACGTGTGAAGTTTGCCAACATGCACT